ACTTCAGACAAACGCGACTTCTTTTTGTCGATCTCCTCCTTCAGTGTCTTGAGTTCGTTGTGGCCGTCGATCAGCTGTTGTCTCGTCTGACGATAAGTGGGTTCTCGCGAGAGATTCTGTTCCGCAGAACTCTTGTTCGTCTCAATCAGTAGATCCCTTTCCCTCTCGAGTGACCGGATCTGGTGGACAGACATATGAGATAAAGAGTTCATGAGATATAAGATAATGCGATGTCTAGTGGTGTCGTCAAACCTGCGGCAAGTCTTTAATCATTTCATCCAATTTGTGGTAATTATTATCGTTTAGTAATTGCTTTAACTCTTCGTTTGACAACTGATTCACACGAGTGGTGACCGAAGAGATGTCCACTTCAGGCATATTTGGCGTCCAGAAAGACATTTGGCCCCCGGATTCACGTGACAACGGGTCTGATGGCGAGTGGTGTGGGGCTGAAGAGGTGGTGATCTGTTGGCGACAATGGTCTTCACGAGTGGTTTGTATTGATAGCGAAACCCAAAGAAACGCAAAACAAATGATTATTTTTATTGAATGAATCATTGATTGTCACAGAGTTTGTGGATTTCAGCCATAGATGGCACGCTATGTATGAGTTGTTCATAAATAGTGGTACCCATAGAGGGGTGAAGTTATTGAATCACAGAATTTGTACAGAATTTCATTGAATTTAATGTTAATTACAATTGAATTGTGAGCTATAGTTATGTTGAATGCAAAGTATGGATACAATTGAATGCAGTTTAACAATAGTTTTGAGGATTTTACAAAAAATGTTTTCAAACAATAGAAATATTTTTTCACAAAACTTTTCAAATGACAATTTAAAAATGTTGACAACACTGAAAAGTTTTGTCATTTGAAAAAATGATATAAAAGCTGTGTCTCTCAGAAAGTGAAACACAATTACATCGGGAATGACATCGAGTTCTTGGGAGACGACACTCACTGCACGGATAGGTATGAAATGAACACAAAATACTAACCAAACCCTAAGTATCGGTGAATTGGGTATAGAATTGGGTATAGAATTGGGTATAGAATTGGGTATAGAATTGGGTATAGAATTGGGTATAGAATTGGGTATAAGTCTGACTCTAAGATATGGCACTCATAGGCCCGACCTATGGGTACGTAAAGACGTCCAGTTCCGGGACCTATACCTCGCTCTGTGGTCCCGGTCTTAGTCCT